AATTTGTATTATTATAAGTAGTGTGTGTGTGTGTGTGTGTGTGTGTGTGTGTGTGTGTGTGTGTGTGTGTGTGTTTTACCCGCCTCACCATAGAGCGGGACATGCCAGCTTCTGGCCATACAGTGGTCCCGCTGTATGGCCAGGGTGGTGGAATGCACTTTAAAGTGCCGGCGCGCCTTCCGGCCATAAAGCAGGACACGTCCCACTGTATGGCCGGCACGGCGGCATGCATTTTAAAGTGCCGGTGCGCCTTTTAGGCATACAGCAGATCCCACTGTATGGCCAGCACAGCGGCATGCACTTTAAAGTGCCTGTACTTTCCGGCCATAAAGCGGGACGTGTCGGGGCTTCGGGGGCGGCTGGTGCTGGCAGGCATAGGGCATCTTTTGCCCGCTTGCCTCACCGGCCGTTAACCTCACCACACGTCACTGATAGAAAGCCTCAAGCTTTTAAGGCTCACGGTCCTCCAGCTGGCTTCATACTTAAACAGGACTATAACTCACAATCACTGGTTTCTAGCCTAGTACTTTAACCACTGCACCAAACTGACTCTTCGTTATTCCTAAATACTAAAACTAAAATACATTCAATTTCAATTTCTCTTTTCTGACATAACTTGCCAGTTTTATTTTACATATAGAATGTATTTGTTATACAAAACTGTCACAGTATCTATGTCATATATCTTACACAGAAGAAATCATCACTCAGTAGAGAACATATACTTTCTATGCAGAAAAATATCTGTCACTGCATTTCTAAACCTGTTTCGATTAGACTTGACAAAAGATATATCCTTCCACAGTAAGACATGTTTCTTAAGCTTATACTTTGCTGTCTAAGGTCTGGGAAATTTGTCACGATTAAGCTACCCGACAAGCATATCTCAGTTTGCAGAATACAATGATAGTCCTTCTCTAGCTACTGTCTAAAGCACAATTGAATACTGAATACAGCGTATGTTCACAGTTGCAAGAACCGATTTTACATCTTAAAATCCTAAATGATTTGTGACAATAGAGACATTTCTCAAGACAAGCCTCTCTCATATTATTCACAGGCACCTCCCCTGAATCAACCAGGCAGTAAAAAAACATAATTGGATGTACCCTGTCCCTGGCTATCTGAAGAATTCCCTTGACCATAGGAATATGAGATGAGGTGAGGTGAGGAGAGGAGCACTGGCACGTGGGCTGAGGGGAAAATTACAGAGATAATTTTTAGATTCTATACCAGTAGTAACTTCAGTATGGAAGTAAATAACTTATATAGCATATGCCTGATGTATCTCTATATACCTATATCAGGGTGCATCTTATTGAATCCTTGCCTCAGCTAATAATAGTAAGTGCAGAAGAATCCAAAATGTTCCCACAGATTGGGAAGTGGGGAAAAATCACTAGATTGCAAAGTTAAATGCAAGCCAGATACAAAAACCTACCCTAAAGTAGCCCTTTAAATATACTTGGATTCAACTTTCAGCATCCCGCCTGATTAGAAATATTAGGAGAGTCATAGGCTGGGAAGCTGTTCGAAAAATGTGCCTAGCCGATGAACAGCTCTGCACTTCCAACCACTGAATCTTGTCCAGCCAGCCAGCCAGCCATTTTAACCCTGCTGAAAACAATTGGATTCTGGGAAGTTTACAAGAATTTTACAAAGAAAAGAAAATAATAGAAGACCCACAATTTTTTAAAAAGTACATTAAAATCAAAACTGTCATGATCTTCAATCAACATATTATTCTCAGGTCCTCATAAGCCTTCCAACACCATGTGGTTTTTAGCAGTTTTCCAAAAGCTAACCATGTGTAGGAAAACTTATTTGCAAAGCACAGGGCACTGAGGACTGTACTTCTGAGCTCCACCCCATCACATTGCACTGGCAGAGACAGGGCCTTGGTATCTTCTGCAGGAAACCATGGACTTTCACACTTCATTCTGCTCCATTCTCTCCATCTTTTGCTCCCCTATCCTTCTCCTCATCAGAATAAATTGTACATTACCTTAAAGCATGTTTTTCAAAACAGTTTTATACAAATACAGATATGAGCACATTTGATTACTTTATATACCTTGTTTTCCTGTAATTTTATTCCCACCCTGAAGATAATAAAAAGTTTATTAACTTTTTTCTAGTATAAATAAACATAAATAGCACATTGGGCAGACACACAGGTGCACAAAAGTATAAAAGCTGCTTGGAGACATTCTGACTAAATAGAAACAGATTGGAAAGCATCAGGTAATTCACCAGAGAAGATTGATTGGACATATGTTAAATATTCGTTTCCCACCTCCTTTGTAGCTGCCAAGGAAACATCATGAAGTCTACCCTGCAGAACTTCTGAATGGCAGGTAGCCAAGCATATGATGTTGAAGAGCCCTTTCTCCTTCAGGTGCCTGAGAGGCAGTTATCACAAAGATGGAAAAAGAGAAGAGAAATCATTAGTCTCACCTGGCATTTTGCAGAAACCTCATTTCTCATACTAGGTAAGACTGTGTGTGTGAAAATGAGATATGTCACAAAAGTAATTCGGTAGAACTATAGAAAAGTAAAGACTCAAAAGTTCTCATATACAGTGGATTTTAGAACTACTGGTGGAGAAACATTTTATCGCCCGTGTATATAGTGTATATACCATGCAGAATCCCCTGCGAATTAAGCTGAATAAGAGATGGTGATTTATCTACTAGTTCTGCATAACAGGCACCATTCTTGGAAATGGCTGAGCAGCAGAATGGCTCTCCTCCAGAAAAGAAAGCTTTTATTCTTTGCACTTTTGCCACCACTTTGTTCTTATTATACTATGCTCCCCAGTACCATCTTACTCACATTAACAACTTTGCCTGTTGGTGACCCCAAAGAAGTGAAGATAGGTAATAACTTCCAAAGTAAATGATTGGATTCCTTTAACTTCCTTGTCATACAATGTGTTTCTATGATTTTCTGCTTCTCGTGTATTTAAAGATGTTTCACTGTTGGTCTTAGACTTATTAGCAATCTGCTCCACCAAAATGCTGTTTTTATACCTATTTGCATTTCTGGGTGTTCCTTTTCATGCTTTTCATTTGAACAATGCTTTGGTTTTTTGAAGAAATTTTTATTCTCCCACATAGCTTGATGTCTATGGAGATTCTCAATCATCCAGCTCATGCTTGTCCCAAAGGTGCTCTTTCAAGAGGTAACTAGATTTTCTGGGGGGGGGGGGGTCTTTGAAGATGTTTTGCTTCTCATCCAAGAAGTTTCTTCAGTTTCTTGGATGAGAAGCAAAGTGTCTTCAAAGAAAAAAACCCAATAAAGTCCAGTTGCCTCTTGAAAAAGCACCTTTGGGACAACCATGATCTGGATGACTGAGAATCCCCATAAACATTCAGAATCACCTGAGTAGGCAAATGGGTGTGGAGCCTTCTTGGAACTTTTGAAAGGACTGTGTTATATAGTGGAGATAGATGATGTCATATCCTGTTTCCCTCTGTTGAGAGGGGGCTGTTCAATTTTGACATAGATGGCCTCTTTGACCCCTCTTTCAAACCAGCAGTCTTCTTTGCCCAAAATGTGGATTGTCCTGTTTTCAAAAGAGTTCCCCTGTGTCTTTTAAATCCAAATGGACTGCTGAATCTATTCCTGATGGGTGATGGATCCCAGATAGCTTGTCTGATGTTATTCATTACCTATACTTACAGTTGTACCTAGCCTTCCAAACTTAGTTGCACGTTCATGTTAAATGACACACTGTGGAGGAGCTTGGTAGAGGAGGAAAGAAGTGCAGCTGTGCCCTTTAATCCCAGCTCCTTTTAAATATGCATTGCACATGCAAAATTTGGCAAAAGCGGGGCATGGCCCTGCCACTCAGTGGTGGCACCAACTTGACTTTTTTAATACCTTCTATAGATGTCTCCGCTTCAGCTTCTTCTTCCCCTAAACTGGCCAGTCCCACCAGCTGCTCTGGAAAGGAGCACTAAAAATTACAATTACATAAAACCCATCCCTCTTCCTTATTTTTTTCCCTCTCCTTAAATTGGATTTATCTGATGAGGGGGGAAAAAAGCTAGCCATGCAACCTCAGCTGGGTCCAGTGCCTGGCAAAGCCAAATCTCAGAAGAGCCACAGAGTTATGGGGATCCACTGTGAAATACCACCATGGAAAGGAAATCACAAGAGGTGGAATGAGGCATGAATTCCTGCCATTGGGGACCTACTTGTTTCACCCCTACAGGGGAAAAAATTAGTAAATCTACCCATGCTGCCCTTCTTCCCGGTGTAAAATTGCAGCCCCCATAGCATTCTCATCACACAGACATTATAATTAGGTGGTTTGGGGGAACCCACATATATGAGAATATTGTCACCTTTTTCCATTGTCTTTTTTCCAATTTCCCCCATTTTAACACATTTCTTTTTTCAAAATGATACATGATTGTATTATACTTTCGACCCAACTTTCCTTTAATGCATACATTACAAATGTTAACATTCTGGTAGTGACTTGCAGTTCTTTCTGCACAATGTACATCCTGCACCAGGTCTTGACACCACAGTCTTTCATGCAGCATAGAAAGTAGTGTTCTTTCTTTCCTTACCAATCATTGCTACTGAGCCACTTGAGAGCATCAGTTAATTCGTGTTCTGGATGAGACAAGGGTCTTATCTCAAAGGCATCCCTATTTACAAGGTCCTCTTCCCATTCTGGAGAGTGTTGCAGATTTGCCGGCAGGGAATTAGCTGTAAACATAAAATTACACTCAAATGTTTTATATATGTACAATGGCTCTTCTCACCCAGTGAGAGACATTACTGTTGCCATGAAGTCATCTAATATTATAATGCATAGTGCAAGCCCCTTCTTTATAACTTTTTCCTACAAAACAAATGTATGAAATCTATGAAGTGCTTTCCCATTCATAGTATAGCAAAAGCAAAAGAGGTACGTATAAAAAGCTGGCAGAATGTTTATGTCACACCTGACGCGTGTCTCAGGAAGTTGCTCTCTTGGCTGATAACAGGGATGCTGGGCAATGAGGGCCTGTTCACTCGTTTCCTTAAGGCCATCCCAACAGAAGCTCTGCAAGGGTTGCTCAGGTTGAGGGTGACAGGGGTGGCTCCATTGTGATTAAGCCAACTGGATCCTGCAGAAAGTAATTTGAGGAGGTCAGTAAAGGATGGAGGAAGAAACATCTGCCACAATACACAATGAAAGGAGAAAACAATTCATCTACTACACTGTTGGACCAGTGGATGTTCACATTAATAAATGATCAAGACTATTTTACTATCCTCATTAGTATTCCAGTCTTATGAGTTTTTATTTTTAATATATCCCCCCAAAATTGAACTGCTTATGACCATATAACCGTCTGACACACCCAGCCGCACATAAATCTTTACTGTATGTACTTGTTAATGTAAACTGATCAAGAAAGTTGAGTTTTTTTAAAATACATATCATCTTGATTCCATTTTTGGGACAAGGAATTTGCTTCAATGTCAGCATTTAAAATAAATTTTCCAATATAAGTTCTTTTCAAAAGATTCTAATCACAATTCTCTGCCTGTAATTCTGAATCGTGTGCCTTTTTTCCTTTCCTTTTTGGTGAACTGATCAAAGATTTAGTTTAATAACATTTCTGTTCTATGCCTTAGAAGAGGGGTTTCTAAACTTTTTGCCATCACACTTCTCTTTGCTGTAATCTTAATGCACATGCTTCTCCTAAAAATCCAAAAACAAAATGAACACAAATCCAAACAAGAAGGAAACAAGGAAACTTGGAGAAAGATGGATTTATTGTAACAATACAACTAAAATGTTCTATACATATTCCATGGTCTTTTCTGCACTTCCCCAAAAGAGTTACCCCTTAGATTTGGAAAATCCTGCCTTGGAGCATCTTATTTCACTTGTTTGTGGTTCTCATTGGTTATCTTTTTAATACAAGCCAAATTCCATTTAGAGATGGAAGGGAAGAAAACTATGGGGAAGGAGGTCAGTAATGGAACTGAGTCGATCTAGATCAAGGTTGTCTAACCTTGTAGATTTAAACTCCCAGAATTCCCCAGCCATGCAGGGAGGGGTAGAATTGTGGAAGTTGAAATCCACAAGTCTTAAAGTTGCCCCTAATAATTGTTCATGTGAAAGTCACATTATGTTACACAAAAGCCAAAGGTAACCTTCAATCTGAAAGTGTTCTGTTCTCTGGGTTTTTGGGAAAATAATAATGCTGGATAGACAGTTGTTACTGTTTTAAAATATTGGACAAAACATGATGTCAGATCAACAGATCCTGATAGGGACTCTCTATCTTTAAAACATAAAACCCATAGAAATTCACCTGCTGCCATGAACCCAGCATAAATGGGGCCAATACTGGCACATAAATGTTTTAATTTTAAAAAAAAACTTTTAAACATTTATTTTTTTAAAAAAGTGGTGTAAAGCAGCTAGTATTATCAGAATTTTAATTTGCCAATATAACACCCAACTAATCTTTTGTTGGATGCTGTAGCTTCAAACCAATCAGACATTGTGCTTACAACAGAGCTGGATTGTTTAACCTACTTTTCTGACTGCTGTCTAGGGCTCCATTTTCCAGGATGTTGCCTCAGGGGATGTGGACAAGGCCATACGAGCTGTGAGTGCNAAACTTAAAGTGCTTTGAAGATCTGGGGTTTTTTTTGTTTGTTTTTCTCCGTTGCCTTTTAGCCCTTTTGATGTTTTTTTCTAACAATTAGTAATTAACAAACGCCACGACGGACTGAATATGTTATTTCAACACCAGTTTGATATTCTTTTGAAAGACTGTTTGAATTTTGTGCTGCACAAAAGGTCAATTTATATTGGGAAGGAAAGTTGGGTTCTGCGACCTATATATTTCTGACTCTGCCATTACTAAGTGTATTACAGGGTGTTAGGTTTTTTTTGATGCGTCAGATGATATGAGTTTCTTAGAGCCAGACGTTTACTGTTTTTACTACTTTTATTAATTTTTCAACACTACACTGTTGTCCTGCCTGGTTGATGCTCTCAGGTCCAGTTCCCTTGGTTTTTTTGTGCAGTGCACCATGTGAGGATCAGCATAATTTTGCCTATTCCATTCCTGTTTTGATAGCCCCAGCTGCTTCTTCTGTGTGCCCCTGGACAAGAGAACAGAAAGTTTGTTGGTCACTTTCACAGCCATGTCCTTGCAGCATACCATTGCTCCTCCAGCTTCAACTTATGACTCTCAATGGTCTGAGCTCCAGACCTAAACCAGCAACAAGACGCCACAGTTTTGAGTTCCAAAAGATTTAATGAGCTGGACTCTTGGCACACAATGAGTTCCAAGCAAGTAGCCAAAGGGAAAAAAGGCATACAGGGATAAAGTCAGTACTGGGAGTGTCTGCCTTCCAGCACCTTTTAAGCACAAAAGCTGTGTCCTCCTGCTGCTGCAGCAACTGGCCCTCAGTCAGACCCAATTGGCTGATCGTCAGCAGACGCGATTAGATGCTTGTCGGTTGGTCCGCAGGGCCTCTGAACAGCTGATCTTCAGCCAAATCTCATCCAGCTGGGATCAGCTGCTTGCCAGCCTTGTGGTCCTTGCTGCACCTCCAAAGAGCTGATCATTGCCTGAATCTCGTCCAGTTGGGATCAGCTGTTTGTTGGCACCATGATCTTTGCCACTGCAGCCTTTGGTCGGGACGGTCTCCCACCACCATTGCAGGGGTCCCTTCCCCAGGTATGGCAAACCCTGGGTTCGGGATTTGACAGGTGGCTTCCCTCTACCAGGGCTGCACCTGTAAGACAATAAGCATAAGCAGTAAGCACAAAAGTTAGCAGGCCAACACACCCAACCTCCAATGTCCCTCCCCAGTTTGTGGGGATGTTCTTTGTGGAATTTCTTTATCAGTCGGGCTGCCCTAATATTCCTACTCGCCACCCAGGAGGCCTCTGCAATGGGATACCCTTTCCACCATACCAGGTATTGCAAACCTCCCCTATGTATCCAGAAATTCAACACATGGTCGATCTCATAATGGGTCTCCACCCCACCTCTATAGAGCCGGGTACCGCCAGTGACATAGGCCAAGTGGTGCCCCCCCACCCCTTACGGGTTTCAGTAGACTGCTGTGGAAGACTGAATGTACTCTCTTCAACAGTCAGGGTAGTTTCAACTCTACAGTAACAGTGTTGATTACTGTTCTGACCCAGGCTTCCTTAGAAAGCAAGAAGCAAAGTCTTGGTCCCTGCAAAACCTCTTTTATTTACACAACTGTGAATTCCTTTCATTCACAGTCAGCAAGACTTAGTAAACAGTCTTTCAGAGGAGCGTTTATTCACACGCACCTTATCTCATTTGGAGTGCTGCCAGATAACTAGTTTCCAAATGCAGGGCAAGGCAAACTTGGTACAGTCTCTTAAAGTCACACACAGAACGTGTGTCAGGCCTGCAATTATATTCCTTTTAGAATTTTGGCCTGCCACACTTTCTCTTATTTCATTATGCTGTTTCATTAGTATAGTTGATGGGAGGGGGGAATAGAAAGGAGTAGGATTGTGGAATGTATTGTTGTCATTCTTTTCTAGAAGACCAAGGTCATCTTTTGTCTCCGCACCTTTGCACCTGATCGGAAGCAGCTGGGTGGAGTGACAGCGTGGAAGAAGAAGATTGGACCATGTGATGGATTGTGGGTGTGGGGACAAGATCATGAACTTTTAACTGGGTGGGATTCTGATGTAATTTCCAGAATTAGGATTAACACAGATGTGCTAAGAAGTCTGGTTTATTAAATTGGAACTTTAAGGATCATTTTGCCTTGGACTCTGATTTAATTCTGCATGATACTTGGAACGCTTAAAACTTGCCAATCTTGAACCAACTGAATAAACAAATTGTTTCCTGCAAAAGCCCACTCCTCGTTCGGTCCTCTTTTGTTTCCTATGGGAGGAGCCAATCACCTCCAAGGTGTGGCTTTACTCCTAAGTTGACCCTGCTTTCTTAGTTGTTCTTGTCTTCTGGCAGCTCTGCCCATGCGCACACTGGGAACAGGCTTCAGCTGTTCTTCTGCCTCACTGCTAACTCCCTCTCTGCCTCTGACGCAGAGCCCTCGTCTGAGCTTTCCTCAACCCCCAGGACTGGCCCATGTTCCTCCCCAACCTCCTCACTGTCTGACTCTGCTGCTAGCTCTTGAGAGACCGCCTTCTGCCGATTACCTCCCTTCGACCCATCAGATCGCACAGATTAGGCCTCCTCCGAATTCCATCCGCCAGTCAGTGCCGACTGCCGACTACGCGGAGGAGACCCTTCTCAGTAGCAGCTCCGACCCTTTGGAACGAACTCCCCGTGGAGATTCGTACCCTCACCACCGTCCAGACCTTCCGCATAGCCCTTAAGATCTGGCTATCCCGTCAGGCCTGGGGATAAGATCCTAATCCGCCCCACCTGAATGTTGAATGAATGTTGTGTTTTACTGTTTTACTTTATTTTATTCACATATTTTATGTTTTGTCTTGCACTCCTTCCCACGAATTGTAAGCCGCCCTGAGTCCCCTCAGGGAAAAGGGCGGCCTATAAATGACAAATAAAACTAATAAAAAAAACTAAAAAAAAAACTCTGCTGTCTGCCAGCAAGCCACAACAATTACCCTCACAATGCAGAATGGGCCCAGGAACTCTGGTCCCAGTTTCCAGTAGGGAACCTTCAATTTCAAGTATTTGGTCGATAGGTAAACCCTCTCCCCTACTTGGAAAGGCTTCTGCAAAGCTCATATCCTGTTGACCTGGACCTTCTGGGTTTCAGCTGCTTTCCTCAAGGCCACTTTCATGGCTCCCCACACTCCCTGCAAGGCCTCCATTTGGGCTAGCGGGGGATGGAAATACCTGAGGGTATTCAGGTATGGGGATGAATTCTACTCCATTCACTATCCTGAAGGGAGTAAAATCTGTGCTGCTGTGTACAGCATTGTTATATGCCACCTCTGCAAACGGCAGGAGTTCTGCCCAGTTGATTTGCTGGTAGGTGACATAGCACCTTAGGTACCTCTCTAACATGGCGTTAGCTATCTCCACTGCCCTGTTAGTACTTGGGTGAAACACTGAGCTTAGACCCTGGGAAAAAACTGTACCCCCCCCCCCCGCCCCGATCTGATATTATCCTCTGCGGCATGTCGGGGAGGTTGTAGATGTGTGTGAGGAACAGCTCAGCCAATTTCTGTGTCGATGGCAGACTGGGACATGGCACAAAATGGGCTTGTGTGGAAAACAAATTGATTACTGTCCATATGATAGTATGGCCATTGCTCTCCACAATGAAGTCCATTGCTATCTCCTCCCATGGCCGGGTCGGGTCAGGTCGGCCACAGACTGTAAGAGCCCAGGGGGTTTCCCTGAGAGGGTTTCATGGTTGCACAGACCCGACAGCTTTTGACATAGTCCTCTATTTCATGTTTCATCCAGGGCCACCAGAATTGCCTCTTGGCTAGATGTAGGGTTTTGAGGAACCCAAAGTATCCGGCCTGTTTGACATCATGGCACCTCTATAGCACCTGTGGCCTCAGGGTATGTGGCACATATAATTTACTGCCTTTCCATGCTAACCCATCTTGTTGGGTAAGCAGTTGCCAGTGCTCTAGGAACCAGGGGTCGGTTAGTAACTCAGTATGTAGGTTATGTGAAGTTTCCAAAAGATGACCTAATTAATTTACGAGCCTCGAGACAAAGTTCAAAAGAAATCCAGTCATTTATTAGGATCAACATTTTGGCANAGTCTACTGCTATTGCTATTGCTATTGAATGAGATTTTTAAAATGCTCTATTGCTTAATGAAATTGAGAAAGCTTACATGGGACAATTTATAACCTATTGGAGAAACCTTCTCCAAAATAACATCAGATTTATGGGAAGTGTAACTCCCAGGATTCCCCAACTAGTATATCAAAACATTTCTGGGAATTGCAATGCCAGCATATCTGGAAGATGCCATTTAGTGAAGGCTGCCTTAAAATCAACTAATGAGGCTTTTTAGATGCAACTTTGAAAAAAAGGAACAGGAACAGCATAAAAGGCTTACCTTGTTTTGGGACACTCATCTATAGCAAGTGGGGCACATTCTGTCCGTGGCAAGCTTGGAAAAAGTTCTGCAGCCTTCTGAGAATTTTCTTCACATGCCTTTGCTAACTTGGGGATGGGTGGGATCAAAGCAGCTCCTAAAGACTTTTTTGGATTCTCATCAGGACCATGCATGATCTACAGGGATGGATAGGAGAAAAAAAAACTTTAAAATTCTGCAGAAAGTCACTGGGACATGAGAACCAGGTTATTTGAGCAACAGCCTCTTCCCATTTGATCTACCTGTTTTTAACTGTTTGTTTTATTTTTTGCTGCCTAGAGTCATATTTGTTTATCTAGATATTTATCAAATTTATTTGCCACCTATCTGTTGTAAGGTGTGCAGCTCTATTAATTAATTAAAGCAATTCTCAAGTGTATATTGACTTATTGCTTATCAACTACCTCATTTAGCAACTTTTTGAAGCTATGACAGTATCAGTGGTGGGTTTCAAAAATGTTTAGAACCTCTTCTGTAGGTGTGGCCTGCTTTGTGGGAGTGGCTTGCCAGCCATGTTACTGGGTGGGAGTGGCTTGGCAGTCATGTGGCTGGGTGTGCGTGGCCAACTTATAAAATGTGGTGAAAGTCACTTAACAACACTCTTGCTTAGCAACCAAAATGTCGGCTCAGAAACTCTGGCACTGAAGCATGCAAGTCTTAAAGCTGTCAAGTTACAAGACTCTTGCACCTCTAACCTTTTAGGAAAAAAAACCATGGGTATTCAAAAACTTGACAGCTTTGAGACTTGTGGATTCAACTCCCAGAATTCCTCCTCTCACTCTTCATCTTGATGATGTGCGGATGGGGGGGTGNTGAATCTGGACACAATAGAAGTATAGACACTTCATACAACTGAATATGGGTGTGGGTGCACAGAAAGAGAGAGAGAGAATAACTTATACACAATAGCAAAGAGATAGATTAATTGGTTACATTATTATTATTATTAATTTATTATAACCCAAATACATTTTTAATCAATGTGAATTATGGTTTCACGCTCTTCTTTTTTTCATTGAAGTCAACCTGAATAGATAGCTATGGAAAGTTCCATCAATTTAGCATGTGTAATTCAGACTGAAGGGATGTGGTGGCTCAGTGGCTAAGATGCTGAGCTTGTCAATCAGAAAGGTCGGCAATTTGGCAGTTCAAATATCCTAGCACTGCATAATGGAGTCCCAGCTTCTGCCAACCTAGCAGTTCGAAAGCATGCAAGTAGAAAAATAGGAACCACCTTTGGTGGGAAGGTAACAGTGTTCCATGTGCCTTCGGTGTTTAGTCATGCTGGCCACATAACCATGGAGATGTCTTCGGACAATGCTGGCTCTTCAGCTTTGAAACGAAGATGAGCACCACCCTCTAGATTCAGCAATGACTAGAACGTATGTGAGAGGGGAACCTTTACCTTTACCTCTTAATTCAGATTGAGCTTCTAAAAAGTGAGATTCAAGCCATATTAGACATGAATCATGACATGGCAGATTCTCTCACTAGATCTCTCTGAGCATCTTTACAAATTTCTATAAAGATGGAAGAAGGAGCAGTGCTGTTAGAAGAGATTTGAATGCTAGTCATTTAATTCTTGATTTAAGTCTGAAACTAATTGCAAAGCAGAGAGGGAAAATGCACCATATGTAGCACGGGTACCTGCTGAAGTTTCTTTCATGCTTAACAGCAGTTTTGAGACCAGGAGCCCAATTTACATTAGTGAAATGGTGCAGGAGAAAAAGCATTAAAGCCCAGTTCCTAATGATACAGAATCAATCCAATTTGTTATACTCATGCAAACACACCAGCTGCTTTTCAAAGGAAAACATAAGGAACTCTAATCCTGTATTCCCCTTACCTCATATTATTTGTCACCCAAAGTTGGAATTACTAGACAAAGCTTAATCTGAGGCAGATGCAGAATCAGAAAAAATATATATCAAGGGATGTTGTATAACATCAGAAAAAATAAAGCAAGAAAAAAGACCTGCAGCATTTTTTTATATAAGCAATCTCTTATGAAACTACATACACATATTGCTAGTTTAGGGCTGATGTTAAGCCCATACTGGCCTTAAAGCTGTTCAGTCTCCCAGATTGAAAACCTTAAGAAGCACAATGCTGAATTGATTAGAAAGTATCCAATCTGGGACAGCTAAAATGGAAGTGGTAGATTGTAGTGTATCAGGATATACCCTTCTTAATCAGTTTAACATTGTGTTGAACAAAAATTGCTCATATCAAAGGCCAATTCACTACTTCACATTTATTATAATTCTCACACGTTTTCAATGTGACATTTATTCTTTTGCATTCCATAAAATGCAATGTTTTATTTAAATTATGTGTTCATTTTGATAGCCGTTGCTGTGTGTGGAGTGGGAGTGTGTGGATATCATACAGACTTTGTTGATATTCCACAGTAATTAATAACAAATGACTCTACATTATTCCTATCATTTTATTACCTACCTATGCATTGGGAATGAAGCTATTTATAAGCTTTTTGGTAAATCTTTGAAAAGACCAATATAGTGTAGTACCTAAAAAACTGGAATGGAATGGAAAAAACTAGCTTTTAGTCCAGCCTCTGCACTGAATACATACTGGTTGATTTTGAGCCAAGGGCTCTTTTTCTGCAGGAATTATCTCAAGGAGCTATTTTTGGAGAGAAAAGATAGAGCAGAGAGACTGCCTTGAGCTCTTGAGGAAAAGCCCTTTATAGAAGGGAAGGAGGATGGATGGATAAATGGATGGAGGAACGGATGGAATTCCAGTCTAGGCCAGCCTTATCATTGGGCAAAATGAACTGTGGGGAACCATTAAGTTTTTCATTATTTAATTCATCACTGCCTTTCTGTTGGAGAGGGAAGCATTCATGTTGATAGCTGAGCTCCTGCATTGTTCATCCTGCCAGTATCACTTCTGGGCTTAGGCCCCATTCCCTCTCTCTCCTCTGTTCTTCTCCTCCAGAAATTCCTTTCCAAAGCTTGAGGACTGTATCTAAGAGGAGATTCGTCACTCATTGCTTGATAATGCCAGCTTTGCAAATGGCAGAGCAGAGCCTAGGAAGCTCAGCTTTGATGTCCGCCTTCCAAAAAACATTCCCAGTATCCCTTTCTGCCAGTTTCAGTCCTTCTTGTAATATTTTCTTTACTTCCTCCTGCTAAATGCCAAGCTTTACATTCACCTTGGCCTTCATGCCAAAAAGCAAAAAGATGAAAACAGACACATACCCTTCCATTGCTCTCTTTCCATTCATCATCTTTTAACAGGTAAGGATTTGAAAGCAAATCTTCCTTGGCCAGACAGAGGTAGGAGGTGGCTAGTGGCAATACGGATGCCAGTGATCCCCCAACAACCTTGCAAGGTGCAGGAAAGCCATTCTGGAAAGCAGGTTCAGACGATCCAGTTTCTGACAAGCCAATTTAAAAAAAAGGAATATATTATACAGTGGACTGTAACTACTGTATTTGTGAAAACAGCAAGAGCAAACAAAAGAATCAAGGAGCATTCCATCAAATTGAATCATTCACTGTAGATGGAGTTAAAGGGCTCTTGTTCATAGACAGGCTAAAGCATTGTACCAATATAAAATTTACTGTCCCAATTGGTGATCCTCATCCTGCCACAAACACAATGTCAGTAAATTGTGCTATGCTTATTTATGGAATTAAGGTCAGAGATTAGTGTTGCCTCTGACTTTCTTTCCATCTTCCCTTATCAAACTGCACCCCAGCATTAAAATATCCATAAATCATTTTCCTTAAACATAGAATAGGCTGCACTAAGTAAAAAGTGAGTTAAGGCAGAGAGCTAGGCTGGCAGATTAATCACCTGAAAAAACTCAATCTGCCTTGTGCAAGTATTTTGTATGATTGTATTCATAGAGAAACCATCTGATAGACTCCTTTCAGACCCAGATGAAAGGATTCAGTTCCAGAAAAGCATTAAATCCATCTTCAAAGGAGCCTAAATAACAGTTCCCAGGTCTGGAAAAGGCTCTCATTGACTATCAGCCACTGATGAGAGAATTATTAAGAATCCGTCCATCTCTACTCTTTCACTTGCAAATATCTACATGTATGGAACCATTTAGTTGATGCAGAGGTGTGTTGCCATATATGTTTACTTTAATTTAATTACTAAATTGACGTTAACTTATTTCTGTTGCTTTACCTGGGATATAGAAATGTACAGAGCCCAACCATCAACTCGATGGGAAGGTTGAAATAAACTGCTTACTTCTTTCCTTGTCACAGAGTTACCTGTTCACACTTTCTAACTGTGTTAGTTCCAGTCGATAATAATTCCTGTCAATGTTCTCTCTGTGTCTGTTTCTGCCTCCTTCCCTCCCTCCCTCCCTTCCGCTCATGAAATAAAGAATAAGTACTGTAGCCTCTTTCCTTCTTTCTTATTCTTCTGTCAAGAACTGGCAAGTTGAATTATATGAGGAAAGTTTTTTTTATCTTGGCAGTACAGTAATTATTTATTCCCTGGACTGATCCTCACAACCTAAGTTAGAATAGGAAGTTAGACAGAGCTCGTATGCAGAACATGTGTATTGTCAAGTTCCAGGCTCAATTCCAAGCCAACCCATCTGAAATCTTGGAATTGGAGCTACAATCAGGGACCACCGACCCTATTGAGCTAGAGAGATCAATATTCTGATCCTATAATAGGCACAAATAAGTCAAAGAGGGACAAAATTGAGTAGGAGAATAAGTAAAAGTTAATTAATGGTGTTAATAGGTGTTATGTGGCAGGAGTTTGTCTGTTTTAATTCTATTATTATTATATACACAAAAATGTGAACTCAAAGCTGCCAGCTCTTTAGCTGGTGTTGGCCATCATATACACTGAGTTCTTTCCAAAAACCTAGGATCTACCTAGTAGATATGCAGATCTAAGCTGTGTGGCCTTTTGCAATTGACAGGTGGAAATTTTGTCAAAGTACAGATTTTCGAAGTGCCGTCCAAGATTTCCCAGTATTATTATGTTATAGTCTGAACAGAGATTGAACAATGGCCTAAATGGCCTTTATAGTTATACAGTGGGACCTTCAGTCATGACCGTAATCCATTCCAGGACTTTGGTCGGCACCCAATTTGGTTGGGATCAGAAGCAAGACTGATTGCCCATGTGCGCGCGCACACACACACAAAGATGTGGAAGGGGAAATCTCTGTGGCTGTGTTTGATCACCACCCGAGGATGTGTTCGTGAACAGAGTGAAACATTTAGCAGATTTTTTGGGTTGGTACACAATTTGGTCATGGTCAGAACCGTTTGTGACCCGAGGTTCCATTGTATTCTATTTATTTATAATTTTAAAAATATTTATATTCCATTCTATTTCTATTTGTCCTAAGATCAGGATCAGGATACAAGTAGAGAAAAGAGTCAATGAATATGAGCCACAGAAAACTGTAAGGACCTCAGACAAAAATAACAAGAAGGTTGCTTTGCTATATTACTGTATCCCATATACTCTATATGAATGGTTTAGAGAAAGCAGCAAAAATATTAGATATACATTCTAACATCTTTGACTGCTAGATACTGGATCTAAACTCCAGATTTTGGATCCAGATGAAATACCTGTTCTTATTTGCAAAGAAATTAAATTGCATCATAAAAGAATACAGCTACTTTAGCTACTTTAAAGTAGTTATCGCAATAAATTTGTTTTCAAGCTATCTCTGCTGTGGAATAATTATCAAGGCAAGCAGCTTTACCCTTTGAAATTAACACCTTTGACCAGGCAGTCACCCCAGGATAAAATGTGACATTTCATTTTAACACACAAGAAATGACTCTCCAGCTGAGCTTTTTGTACCAGTGAGAATTAAAAAGGATCTGCTTTAAAAAAAATGAACTCAAACTATAAGCTGATCATAATTTATACAACAATGTTGTTTAAAAATCAATAACATATTTTTGTGTGTTTAATTCATTCCAGCCTGGAGCACTTTTACTGCTAAAGCTGCCACAGGGAAAATTTCATGTTCGGGAGATCAGTAATATAGTTTCATGATTGTTCGTACAATAACACAATACCCTGCACTATGACAAGAAAAATAGGTTCTCTCGGCTTCATTAATTTTTATTTATTACATTTACATTTATCTATTGCCTTTCTCCATAGTGCTTAAAGTAGTATATATGATCTATTCTCATAAAAATCTTTTCAGGTAGCTCAGACAGAGAAATAAAATTGTGTAATTTTTTGTGTGTAAGATATTACACAAAAAAATCCTAGCGTTCATCTTAATAAGATGAAAATGGGAACATTCAGGCAATCTTGGTTTACCTTGGAAAAACAAGGCAAGGTCCAACCTGGCTACAACTTAAGTAGAAAAGTATCCAAAAATTCCAAGAATATAATTTGTGTCATTGCCAAATTGTCATTAAGAAAACTACTATGCATGGATCTTTCCAAGAAGTCACCAAAAGTTACATAAATTCATTTTCATTTTTAATTTCCCTTTATTAAGGTACAGTTGAATGTTTTCATACTGTCTGTTCTGACTGACTCTACTAATCAGAGGGAGCTTGAGAGTTGTCCATCCTTCCCACATAAGAAGGAAAAATGAGAGAATTACCTACGCAGAATTCCATGAATGAGACAGGGCATTTCCACCACAAAAGGCTTATTTTGAAGCACTTTTAACTTATCCTGAAATATCCAACCATTGTTTAAGTTCAAATAAATTACTATATGTACCTACCTAGTGTTTTTTGGTTGTTGTCTTCACCATTTCCAGACTTTAATAATGATCTTAAAGACAATTGGGTAGGGGAAATGAAAAAATAGAGAGAAAGAGAGAGATTAAACTGTCTTTCACCCCAAAAAAAGGCAAATGTAATAATTTAGGGGGCTCAGTTGATAGAAAGAGTAATGATGGTGCAGTGGTTAGAATGCAGTACTGCAGGCTAATTACTGGCTGCCAGCAATTCGGCAGTTTGATTTTCAACAGCCCAAAGTTGATTCAGCTTTCCATCCTTCCAAGCAGTGACATGCGGTAAGTAAAGCTAATCAAGACAATTAAATCCTTAACTCATAACTAGCTTCCAAATGCAAGCATAACAGAGATTGAACCAAGAATTTCCTAACCCATTGTTCAGTTATTGTATTGCATCAAATCCATCTTCACAAGGCTCTACATGCAAGAACAAGAGGGGACAATAGCTGTGTGGAATTTGTAGAGGCATTTTGGTTTCCACTTTAAGAACTAGAAAGCTTTTGGTGTCATACATTTAAATTCTCTTTTTATTCTGAATCTTAGAAATTTACTTAGTTATATAACACTGCAGTGTAGCTCATGAGTCAAGGTGGCGCAGTGGTTAAATGCAGCACTGCAGGCTACTGCTAGATCAGCAGTTCAGCGGTTCAAATCTCACC